ATCATTATTTTATTAAAAATATTTAAGGATATTATATTATATAATATTAATTTATTTATTTAAAAAATAATTAATTAATAAACTATATTATTACTAAAAACAAAATGAAGTAAAGGAAAAAAAAATGCAAAGGCGTGCAGGTGCAATGCCACGGAAGCCGATGACAAACGACGTCACGAAGTTAATTGATAAAGGGGCTGATTTGCACCTACCATGGGGTTGGAGGGCTTATTTGTGACTTTTTAGTTCAGGGGCTTGTCACTTGTTATCAGAAAAGTTGAGGGCCTTAAGAAGGGTTTTTGCCTTTTATTTTTGAGACTTATTTATTTCTACAAGAGCTTGGCATGCAATTTTAAATACGTAGGGCATTTGTAGTTTGCTTATTAAGATTTATCTCATGTCATTTTTGTTTATTCACCATTTTAGGTAACAAGACTAAAAATGAGGGGCATCTAGGTGTGTGACAATTTGAGGCAGTTATGGGCTTAACCATTTTTTCTTTTTCTCAATTATGGACTCATTATATTTTATTTGGTTTAGACATGGATTCTAGTTGGCATATGATTTAGTTAATTTAGCAATATTTCATAACATTACTAGTTTTATATTTTGTTTTGATTTTATTTTTAATGAATGTACGAAGACATTATTTAGTAAAGTTAACTTATGTTGTCTTGCATAACAAATTAACAGAGGTTTTGAATATTGTACACTTGTGTGGCCCACTCATAGGTATACGGTGCTTATTCCGCTTAGGTCTAGGTGTGTCAATTCACCAAAAGGACTTTTGTGGGTTTTGCCTTGTTTGTCAATTATGTATTCTTGTCAATAATAATTCTATTTTTCTCGCATAAACGACTAGATATATATTTGGCAAACAATTTGTCGATTATATTAAGATAATCGACAGTATTTTGGTTGTTGATTAATTATAATCAACAGCCATGTCTCTATCAATTATGTATTTCATATTTTCGTCAACTTTTCTGTCGTTTATGTGGCGAAACAACACTGTTTTCAGTATTCCTTGTATAACCAACATCCATGGTTGTCGGTTATGCCTACATTATGCCACCCGTCCCCCCTTTTTTTACCATTTCTTCTTCTCATTTGGCGGTCAATTTGGTTCTCCATTGAGATCTATCGTCGCCGACTTGAGAAGCAAAGCTCCCCGTGCACTGGTTTCTAAATCCCTGTGTCGGTGACGGTGATTTTTCTTGTCTCTCTATCCATATGGAGTTTTTTTCTTTTTCTTTTTACTTGTAGGACTATTCATTTTCAAGCACCATTCAAATTTCTTGTACATTTGTTCATTTCCTGCCACATCACCACACTACTCAGGGGATTGAGTCGTCGCTACCTTACTTGCAAATCCAGACGCCGTTCGACGATTAGTTTAG